ATTTTTTTGAATTTCTTCTTATCTGTTTGAAAATTAGAGTTTAAAGTTTACCATTTGAAATCTCCACTTTGTTTAATGCGGACTTTTTTTGGGTCCCCTTTTACTTTTACTTTTACTTCTTCTTTTTTTAGTTTGCACATACCAAATAATTAAGTTTTATTTTTTTAAAATCTGATTTTAAAAAAAAGTCCATTTTTATACAGTAAAAATACGGTGATTAATTAAAAAAAAAAAAACCCACTAAATAGAGAGTATGCGGGTGTATTGGAACAGTCTCTTTGATATTAGAGGCTGCAAAATAGGGTGAAAAAATGATATGCAGATGGGAAGCGCTTTCAGAGTCTCAAGATTCACGTAGGTGCTTATTCAGTACGTGGTGGCCCTGAAAACTTATGGGGGATCAACTGCGGTTGCCTAAAATCCGGTCATTCAATCCATTTCCTGCATTTAGATTGCTCTATAGAAGTGTATACAATGAACTCCAAATTTACATGGTATGATTAATTCTATGAAGGTTGCACTAAAATGGGGATTATCGATGGGAGCAAGCCTAATTTTGGAGAGCTTCAATCAAGGAAGGTTGAAGGAGAACATGGCATCCTTCAACCTGAAATTGAATGATCAAGATCTGCTCGAGATTGACAAGTTGGAGGAGAAGAAGATCATGAGAGGAGAATTTCTTGTTAATGACACAAGAAGCCCATACAAGACAATAGATGATCTATAGGATGGTGAAATTTGACAAGTTCAACCTTTTATTTGATGTTGAATTTGTAATGGAGCAGACATTTTCAAAACTATGGTAACAGTTGATACTTGATAGACTCCAACAGTCATCTCTCATTGAACAACATCTCATCAATGTTTATATGGCCTTGCTCTTTCCTCATGTTGCAAGCTCTGCCATGATACTACTAGAAGTGCTGGTCTAATTGCTCCTCGGCATGTTACTGCTCTGTTATCTTGAGATACAGAGGTTTGCTTAGTTTTCTGCTTAGTCTTACGTTGAGGATTGAAGAAGAGTTCAATGGATAAAGGTTTCATGAACCATTTTCATTTAAATTAAAAATAAATTAATTAATTAAAAGAAGCTATGGTAACTTTATAAACATGCTTAACAATAATATGAACCATTTTCAGCGTATTTTTATTTAAAAAGAATTGAAAAGAAAGAGAGTTAAGCACGTATACAGTCAACCTTAAGCATCCATCAACCTCTCCATCAATTGATGATTGTAAATTTTATACTCAATAATCTATCTCAAAATTCTGGTGAACATTGCAACTTTTCCAAGTACATGAATCAGCCTATTAATTAACATGGAAAGAATGCAGGCTTTGGACCTTAGAACTCACATTTTTGAGGAGGGTCTTCAGAAGATACTTGTTTTGAATTGATTTTTGAGATTTGGTTGTACAGCTTCAAGCAGCTTGAACAGCTAAATTCCTTCTCCCAGCTCTGCAGAGCCCATCATATAATTCATTAGGATAAGAAAAAGTGAACAGTTTATGTAAAATACACTCTTTTTTTTTCTTTTTTTTTTTGTTCACGTCATATAAAATTCAAATAATTTAAGGCTTACGTTTATGATGCTCAAGTCAACAATTTAATGTAATCTATTTTGGGGCTGACGAGCTTTCCTTGGACAATGATGAACTGCCTTGCTCTATGCACTTGATAATGATAAAAACAATGAATGGTATAAGCTAATCAAGTGTACTTAAGTGAGAACGTATTGAGATACTACACAATGAGAATGAAAACTGCTGATGTGATGTCTCTAAATGACATCACAATTAAGTAATACCAAACCAAAATATAAAGGTAGCATGGATACCTGAAGGAGATATCCATGGAGCCAATCCAATGTCTGAGGAAATGTTGTGGCTGATATGTTCACAACTGTTAAACCCTACAAGGTGAAAGAAGGAAGAACATTATACGCAAAAGGAAATTACCATTAACAAGATAATTGACAACCACAAGAAGATGAAAGAAGGAAGAACATTATACCCAAAAGGAAAGTACTATTAACATGATAATTGACAATCAATCTTTTCATACCTGGGACTTGAAGGAACAAAGATAGTCCTGAATGGTCTTCAAATTGGCTATTAGAGTATCTTTATCCTACAAAGAAAAATGAGATAACAAAGGTTGGTTAAGCAAACACAATGCTTTGACTGTTTCCTAGTTCTATTCAAAGATCCGCTCACCCCACAAAACAAACAGAACATTTATCACTGTGAAAACTAATGCAAAAATTAGTCCACCAAAATCTGAATTAGACATCTAAGATAAAAGAAGAAGACAGAATTCAAAACCTGAATTAGACATTTATCACTAATTTTCCGAGTAGAGATCCACTCCGCGAGTAATGCCTACAAGAGAAGTAAATTGTGAAAGCATTGTAAGATTGAAAGCAGAGACATGTGAGCAAAACAAGTGGCTGTAATTAAAACAAGCTGTCTCCCGACCGCTGCACCTCGAACATGGCAATATCTCGGTAATCATTATTATGCACAAGTTAAGAAAATGACAATATCAAAGGTTTCCGGCAACTAAAATGAAAATTGAATTTGAATTGGTGAGGTTATGTGGATATATTAAAGTTTCTCCAACATAGAACATGTCATTAATTACTTTCTAAAAGGCAACTTGCATCTAGCACAGCTTTTCATATAATCTATTGATATGTGCTCATGTGGAAGTGTAATTCTTAAACATCCAATCAAAATTGGGGAAAAAAAAGAGAAAAAAAAGTAGAGAAGTAGAAGTCATAACAAAAACTATAAGAGTGAAAAAAGAAGCAACAACACCTTATGATCAAATTCAGCCATCTTCAGAGCTACTGGTATAATTATTGGTTGAGGACCAGGTTTTTCCTTTTGGACAGGAGCCTTTATATCCAGTTCTGGTTCCTTAATGGTTTCACCTGTATGAGCAAAAACGAAGTTAACAAACTGTCACATTATGTCCATATTTATCTGTCAAATTTGATACATGCACATGAAAGAATACTGTAGAATAAGCTACAAAAGAATATTAAAAATATAAGTATTAATGATTGCAGTTTACCTTTTTTCTCAGGAATGCTGGTCAAGTCAAGAGATTCCAGTGACTCTGCGACTTTATTTACTTGGTCACTACATACCCCCTCATCTAAGGTCACATGAACATGATTGTTTTGGCTATTTTCAGTATGATTCCCACACAATTGTGCAGGATTATTTTCCACTTGGGTTGGGGGAGCTTCCTTTGATGTCACGTTTACAGCGCTTGCTTCTTTCCTTTTTTCTGGCATAGTAGCTGGTTCTTTATTCTCATCATCCATTAAATAAATGTTTGGATCCAAATGGATTCCCTGTCATAATCATAAGAATCAAAATAAGCTGGCAAACTCCTAAGAGATACAGATTAATGCACAGGAAATTTCTGATTGCATTACTGATACAACAAAATAGATATTGAAAATATATTAGCAGATTAATTGCATATCGTCCAAAAAAAAAGGGTTCATGTGAGACAGGAGAACAAGAAAATGTAGTTTTGGGACATAAAGCCTTAAAAAATAACAGAAGTAACTACCACAGAATTTGCATGCATATGAGCCTTTCATTGAAAGAAAGTAAGAATATAACCTGTAGGATGATCAATACACAGCTCAAAATTTCATGTGTCTCACCATTTTATAAACAAAGTCTCTACTTCCCAGCAATTATATACCATATCATAAAGTAAATAAATATTATATTTGAGATATCAATATCTTACTAAAGCAAATTAAATATTATGGATACATGTTGCTCTCTTGGGAGGTGAGTGTCCACAACCTGCGCTCTAGTGGAAGACAATGAATCACCCACCCTAAACCGTCAAAGATAACAGAAAAATAGGGCAAGCACAAAATATGCCGTTAACTTGTTTTAAAAAGAAAAGGTTGAAAAGGCAATATGGCATCATAGGGAAGAGAAAAAGGGAAGTGGCAATTCAAAATACAGAACCAAACTATACCTCAATTATGATGGGCTTTCCATCTTTCATTGCCTTCTTTAAACCACCAGCCAAACCTAGGAAGCAAACACCAGTATGTTTGCAGAATAGACATAATTTTTACTACAAGGAAGACAGGCAGAAAACCTACAAAATGATATCAAAGGTATTAAAAATCCCTAAATCACTTCCTGCTAATTTCAACATTTTTCAAAAAGAGAAAAAAAAAAAAAAAAAGGCAGTCATGTTAACTAAATCAAAAATGATACTACCTTTATGAAAAACTCTGCACTCCCTACAAAATTCAGTGATCAAGTCCTCAGAGGAACTGAAATTCCGAACCCATACCAGAGTAGATGCCAATGGAGCTCTGAAACAGAAACAAGGAGTGGATAAGCATTTTCCCCACCAAACCTTGAAGATTTTTGAAATTCACCTAT